GATGTGATGGTTGAAAATTTGTCTGGAGAAATCCAGGGAAAGAACTCCAACAAGATTATAGGACTACACTAAGCCTACAGAGAAACATGGAGGAGGGGCTGTTTTTGCCCTTTAGAAAACTTTCAGGCCAGAGTCCTAAACCCTGTAGTTGGCCTATGAGATGCCAAGAAAAAAAAAAAAATTTAAAAAAAAAAAAAAAAACCAACCCAAAAAACCCCAACAACATAGTAATCCATCGCTCAAGACAGACTACAGCAGTTAAGGATCCTTGGCAGCGCTTCCCTAGCTGTGACTTTGTGTAATTTAAGGAACCCCCTGATACTGCTCCCAGGTGATGACAAAATTTAGGGCAAGGCATACTGTACCAAAAGAGACAAACAGACTGCCCCACAATTTGATCTGCTGCCATCCTAACAGCCCTGCCCTGAGCAAATGTAACCGGAGAGCTCACTGTTTGTATTGGAAACTCGAGCTGTCTTTGCAGTCAGGTGGGAAAACAAGGTAGGGGACTTTAACCTGCATGTGCAACATAAAAGTGCTCAGCAAAAACAGAGGGAGGGCCTAGAGAGCCAACAGCATGCTGTGCATGCAGAGATGAAACACACCTCTGATTTGCATGCACGCCTGGATTTTAAAAACAAGTGGACTGAATGGCAGCGTAACAATGAGGCCTTAGAACAACCTGCTATTGATCTACAGACTCTATGAAGTGAATTCAGGACGTAGCAGGTGATTCTACTCCCCGAGTTTACCTGGAAATACCAGATGGAGATATCAACATAAAATACAACAGAGCACTTACTTCAAAAATAAAGAGGATAGAGTCCAGCTCCTCCCTTTGAGATTTGTTCCCTGAAACAGAAAAAATACACTTTTAGTACAAAGTTTTTAAAACATTTTACCTGAAGCTATGCTGCATAGAGCTTCATCAATAATGCAAAAATAATATGGGCCATTGCATAAACATTCATTTAAATGAACGTGTATGACCATGAGACCGCAGTCCCAGTGGGAATGAATGAAGGCAAGCTCAATCCACTCAGTTACACTAAACATAATCAGATTGATTCTCTAAGTACCGCTGCTCTGGAAATGTGGGGCAAACGGAAAATAACCTTTGCTGTAGCACAGAGGGCAAAGAGAGGGTTAATTATTGAACTGCCACTGACAGCGGCAGCTAAATAGCTCATGTGCAGTTTATTACAAAAAAAAGCTTTTACTCACCTTTTTGTTTTAAGTTGCTTTCCAGTGTAATGAAATTTTCATAGAAGATAAAATAAATCTGAGAACTGTTGCTCTCAAAGAATGTCTTCAACTCACTCTTGTCAATGATATCTGGGGGAAAAGAAAAAGAAACTCAATCAACTTCAGTCAGTGAGAATATAAAATAATAATTAAATAAAAAAGAAACAACAATCACTTTTATTCAACAGTGTATTCAACGTTCAAGGTTTGTTAATGTAGAGATTTTCCCCTGTAGTCTGTTTTGAGAAACCTGGATGCTTTAATGTTGTCTGTGTGACACTAATCACAGGAGTGACAGTGAGTTCGCATTAGTTCCCCATTTAAACAGAAAACTACATACATTTTAAAACAAAGCAAATTGCTTCACTTCCTTAAGCAGTGTAACTTCTCCCACTCCTCACCTGTAGCCACGGGAGAGAACTGTTTTTTTGGGGACGTTGAGAAACGTTTTACCCCGATCTACGATTTCACAATTTGAAAAGTGAAAGATTTCTAAATGATGCTTTTACTGTGAAATGTGCATTTTATCCAACAAAGACACAATTTTTGTATTGTTGCCTCTGTGGTGACGCACAGAGGCACATCCGTGCATTGGTACATAAATTATAATAAGTAACTTATAAGTAATACATGTTAAGCTGGCACTACAATGAATAGACCGATTCCGGTGCCACCATGTTGCACCTCAACCGACTACAGTGGTCCTTCTGCTCTGGAGCCTCAGCCTGGTACAAGGTTCTGGTTAGCTTGCAATCAATCTCCTAAACAGAAGGCAAACAAGCTGCAGTCCATCACAGTGAAATGGATGCTGTTTAATAGATTCATCCACCCATCCAACCGCTTATTTAACTCAATCCATCTCAGCAGTTATGGTGCAAAAGGCGCAGTGAACCACGCACCGGTCCACTGAGATCTGGCAGAGGGACAGAGAACCTTACCTTCTCCCATATACATGCACCTATGGCTAATTAACCTAAAATGCCTTTGGGAGAGAACTAGAGTACTCAGAAGGTCCCACAGGCACAGGGAGAACACAGAAACTCTACACATAAAGGGCCCAGTCGACTAGGAGGTGCAAACCCAGAACCTTATTGTGAGGAATCACTTTAAGGTTCTGCTTAAGCTAAACAAGTCGCAAAATATACTTTTGTAGCTCCCAAAGGCAAAGTCCATGTGAGGAATACAATGCAAAGCTAAGAGCACTTAATCTAAAGAATGGTAGTCACAGTTTAACATGGAGACAAAACATACTTGCAAACCAAATAAATGTTAAAGAAAATATCAGTTTGTGATTTTTTTCCCCTTTTGTTTCCTTCTGTTTTTTCAAGATTGCAAAACTCTCAGACAATATGAGGCCATTGTTTCAGTTACTGCTGTGATGAAAGTCTCCTCCATGTTTCAGCCAGTAATACTTTGAGTTCATCTACACTGGAGGATGAATAAATGAGATGACTTTTTTCCTCCATGCCATCCAATAGGGCTCTTTGGGATTTAGGTCAGCACTCAGGAAGTGCTATTGTAAGACAGATTTTCTCCTGGGCAAAAATACACTTTAACAGGCAGCTGGGATGCTGGAAGAGACACTTCTGCTTGATATTTAACTAATACACATGTTTAAGCTTCCTCAAGCATTAATCTATCTATATTTATTTACAGCTGTGGTAACTGTGTTTTTCAATGCATTAAATATCAGTTTACACACCCACACACACACACACACACACACACACACACTTTATGTTGAAAACTATAATTTCCCCATATACATTTCCCCAAAATGATTCCTGGCAAAACAGAGCAATTAAGCTTCACCTTCTGTTCCAATTCTCCCTCTACTAAATGGCAAATTGGAAAACTCCCAGAAGCTGTCCATCTCCCGGGGACTGCTGGAATGATGAATTACGTGACAAAGACAAAGCTTTGCCCTGAGATCAAAGCAGGGATAATGAAGATGCATGATGAGAAAACTGAGTCAAAGTAATGAGTGTTTTACATTTTTAGCCTCGATTTAGGAAAAAATAAATAATCATGTCATCATGGGTGAATCCCTAGTGACGCTGCTGTTTGACAGTTAGATGTATAATGTAACGACTAATTGGTGACACACAGTGAGATGACACCGACTTTCTACCCGACCCAGTTTTACTACCATCAATGCTTTACAGTTACCTTAGCTTGCCCATAATTACTGTAGACTAACAAAACTACCTGATGATATCCGCAGATAGGCAACCTCCCTGCCAGCCAGCAGCTAGCAATTTAAACCAGTGTAATGCAGCTATAATCAGCCCATTGCTGTAGAAACAGATGCTCGTTTTCAACTGAGAAAGCACAAGAAGATGTACAAGAAAAAAGAAAAGCTACATTAATCTAGAGCTGGGCGATATGAGATTTTTTCATATCACGATATGTTTTTTTCATTTCAGGCGATAACGATATCTATCACGATATAAGCCAAATAACTATATTTGTAAGATTTAAATGTGCCGTTGCTCACAAGTAAAATGTGAAATAATCAGCAGCTTGTTTTTATTTAAATATTTATTTCCCATAATAAGTTCAACAGGGTAGATGTACTTAAGGAACATGAGACTTTTTCAGATAAATAAAGGCAAATATTGCAAACTACACAAAAGGCAGCCGCTAAAGCGTTTAAGTTTCAAAATAGAACAAACAAAACAGACTAAATTGTCAATTCCACTTAGAAACAAAATATTAATTCTAAAAATAAATCTTAGTTTGTTTTACAGAAGAACAGACAAAACTGACTAACTTTTGTCAATATCAAATAAACTGAGAACTAAAAGGAAATTCTCAATCTCTCCTTGTTGTATAGCTGAGCTTTTCAAACAGTTTTAACAGTTACTTTAGTCTGACAAAAGCCGAATGACGAATTAGCGCTTCCAGTCAGAGACTGAGGCTACGTCCACACGTACACGGGTATTTTTGAAAACGGAGATTTTCCGTTTTCGTTTTAAAAAATAATCCCGTCCACACATAAAGGCAGAAATGAAGGAAAACGCTGCTATGAACATGCCAAAGCAGCAGGTGGCGCTAGATTCCTAACCGTGCAGAAATGTTGGCCAATCAGAAGTCTAGAAGCCTCGGTGGGAAAAAGTAAACAAAGCTGGGGCATAGAAGCAGAACCGAGCCGTATGTGTGGACGGACAGTAACTGTGTGTATATGTAAGCATTTAAACACTGCAGAGAGTAGAATTAACAGTAACAGTATTGTAGAAATTCATTTCACCGAAACAATAACGTGGCGCACAGTGTGACGCATGCACCAGTTTATTGTATTTCCAGACTTGCTTTCGGCACAATTTACAGTGCACGCTACTCTTTTTTTGTCAGACTTGAAATAGCCGAAATACCTTCACACTACGGAACTTCTATGGCTCTTCCGTTCGACAATCTCTCCGGCATTGGAACCATCATCTGTTTTCTCTTCGGTCACGCTCGGTTGATTTTTCTAGTCGGCACACTCATCCTTCCGCGCTCCATTACCCGCTGGCTGCTTCCCAAACAAACACACTGTGCGGCTTGGCACTTGTGCTGTACGTAACAAGTCACGCGACGTGACGCTGCGGCTGTGATTGGTTCGGCTCTGCGCTACTTAATTTGGATTGGCTGACCTTTTTTTTTTTTTTTTTTTTTTTTTTTTTAAGAGGACAAGAGCGGCGAGGTCTATCGCGATAGCTTAATTTCTCTATCGAGTAAAAGTTATATCGCGATACATATCGTTATCGTTCTATCGCCCAGCTCTACATTAATCCCATGAGGCTAAGATTCATTAATCATGAAACAAAACAGTGAAGCATAACCAAGAATAGCTCCATTAGGAAATTCAAATGTCTGTATTATTTAAACTACCGGTAACAGACTTTTGATTTCGTTAAAAAACAACAACACAGGGATAAAAGGGGGAAATTGTTTTTAGGTTTTTATTTCAGCTAATTTTTAACCACTAAAAACAGTTGTAAAGAGATGCTGGAAAATGTAGGATAACAAAAAAATAATACTAATAAAAAAAAGATTATTATTCCAATTTTCCCATTTCCAATCCAAATCTAAACTGATTTTAGGTTATAGATTAGATTTAGACTATCAGACTGTTTTAGATGAGCCAATCTTAATCACAAAACACATTGAACTGAAGGAATTAGCTCCGGTCAACTGCACTGTTATAAAAATAACATCCAACACTAAAATGATTTAAAGAAATCTAATGAACCTTAGTCTCCAGTCACACATGCCTATAGCCAGCCACCAGTTGCTATGGAAAAAAAATATTCCTTGAGTGGTTGCAAGTGGCTGCAGGCAGTTGCTGCAAAATCAACTACTAAAGCCCCAGTCGCATGATTTAGCAGTAAAGACAACTATTACTTTAAAGTAGAATGTTCTCCATAAGGTAACAAGTGCTTGCAGACAAATGCATCTTGCATGAACACTATGGGCCAACCCAGGAATCTGCGAGACCAAAGAAATCACAAGGTCAATCAAAACATACTCTGTGTGACCGATTTAACCCAGAGACAGCCACCAACCTCCAGAAATCACTCGCTAACCACTGAGGGAAAACAGAGTGAGACTGCAGATGAAGAAGGCTGAAATAAGCCTTCAATGGAAGAGTGCCTGGGCTCTCCCTTAGAGCTACAGTGAGAAGCTTGGTCACTTGGGAGCGGCTCAGAGTAAAGTAGCCCCAGATGCACAGGTGGAAATATTCTAGTTATCCAGAATCAGAAATGTTGCACAGAATAATACACCAAACCTTTTTAAAGGCTCATGTTGCTCAGTTTGGCGTTTCTCTGCTACTAGGGCTGGTCGATATAACAATATATATCGGATGACGATATAAAAACGTCTATCGTTTCATTTTACGCTATCGTTTGTTTCGTGGTGTCGCAAAATAAACTGTTTACGGCAATATTTTTTTCATCGTTTTGATGGTCACTGTAGTGGCTATATTCATTTCTTAAAGTTCTCTCTTTCTCTTATATTTAATATAACCCCACTACGGATGGACAAGCGCCTGTTTTTATGGGTTGTCGTTAGCAACAACGACAGTAAAACCATCGCATGTCCGCTTG